ATGATGATTCTGGATATACATACATATGATCTCAATGTGTACGTTGATAAAGGTACAGAAGTAAGTAGCGATGCACTAACTCTTGGAGAAAAAGTTGTTAAGACACTTTTCGGAACAATTAAAGTTCCTGACGTTGTTCTAAGCTTTAATCGCTTTTTCACCAGTGTAAATTTACTGGAAACTATCAATTTTGCGGCGGTTGGCACCTGCATGACTAATCGCAAAAATGTGCCTAATGTAACTAAAATTTCAAAAAAGAATAAGACGGGCCAAACAGGGGAAATTGACTGCCCGGAAGCAATTGCATTCTATCGGCAAAAAATGGGAGGAGTTGACCGCGCAGATCAATTCATAAGTCTCTACCATCACGACAGAAAGTTCTCGAAGTGGTGGAAAAAAGTGTTTTATACTTGCCTTGGGATGTGTACAGCAAACGCATGGATTATTTACAACGACTTGAGGCGTAAGAATGAGAAAGTTCCTTATCTAACATATGTGGTGAATCTTGCCGAGGAATTGATTGCCGAAGGAAAAAATACTACTGAGTTACCATTACCAAAAAGAGGTCCAATTTCGAAGAAAAGAAAACTTTATGGATCAGCATTGCATCCAATGAAAATCCAAAAAAGAACCAAAACGATTTGCGATGAATGTAATGTACCGTTGTGTAAAGATTGTTTCAAGCTGTATCATACAAAATAAACTAATACATTTCCAAAATATATGAGTAACACTAAAAAATATATAAAAAGTTGTTAGCTTCTTCTTACCTGTTAGTACATATTTGTACCAGATAAAAACCCTACTGGTACCCATATGTACCAACACACCCCCTTCCCCCATGGGTTCCCTAAACATTTTTTTTAAATTATTTCAAAAGAAATGGTATATGTTGATGCAATATAGTTATTCTAACCTAGTATTTTGATTACATACACGAAATTGGTATTCAGGGACGAAAGGGTTAATAAGGAAAAAATATTTTTGTGAAATTTATTTTAGATTTTCATCGGTCAGTTTTTATGGCATCATATGCTACTGGTTCGATCTGAGCAATTTATTCAGAGCACTTCCATAGCGTAGTTTTCAATTAAGTAACGGGATAGTCATCGTCAAGCATTTCAAAGAATTTTGTAGAATTTCAATAAGACTATGAGTATTGCAATTTAAAATGATGTTTTTTCATTCACTTATAAAATTGAAAAATCTATATAAATACGAAATTCAATATCTTTAAACGGTTAGAAAAAACCATAACAGACGATTTTGTACAGCATTCAATATCCTGCGAAATCTGTGGAACGAGATATATTTTCAAGTAGTTGGAAGAGAGATTTGAACTTTTCTAACTGATGATACGAAAAAAATAGAAAACTGTTAAGTGTAGGACTTTCTCGTTACATGTAAGAGCACATACTTGGATATCCTTAACAAGAGTTGTCTATAAGTCATTTTTTCAGAATACGAATCGAAAAAAATATTATTCATTTTTTTATTTTTTTAAACACCTTAATGTATGTACATGCATCGGCGATTCCCAAAAATAACCAGCTTCTTGATGAGAAAGAGTCTTAAGCGAGATTTCAGATCGATATCTCAAAAACTCAGCGACTAGTTGGCGTATTTTCTACGTATTTCGTGGCAAACTTAATATACTCTTTTCAGGTTATAAAAATAGGTACCTAAATAACTGTACGAGTTCCATTCCATTACTCAGATGGGACGCACAAGTCGCTTTTCTGAATGCAACGCTGGTTTGTTTTTTATATAATTATTTTAATAATTTTATATAGATATAAGTGAGTAAGGGGTATGATGATGAGTCGATTTTCGAAAAGTTTTTGATTAATTTACTCGCATTTGCCATAATTACATATTCAGGAATAATTTCGTTATCATCTTTTGATTATTACCACATTAATTAAACGAACTATAACAATCGAACTGACTGACTGAATACACTAATTTTTTCGGTTTAAATTCTCAATTAATCAACGCTTCGTTTTTTCCCCACCCTTCTACTTCTTTTCTCTAACTACTTTCACACAATACTAATCTCTATTGAATAAAAAAAGCCTAATTTTGCTTTACCCCAGATGGGACTCGAACCCACAATCCTCGGCTTAGGAGGCCGATGCCTTATCCATTGGGCCACTGGGGCTCTCAATAAGTGTTTCAACCGAAAATTCTTTCATTACGCGGAACATGCACAAGAACCAAAAATTATCACTAATTATAAAATTAAATAGAAGCAGTAGGAACAACATATAGCAGCTACAAAAACACCAAGTAGACAAAAACGAATAGATCATCGTAAACACTCGTGTGTACTGACGTGTTTCAAAATTATTATTAGCATCTGAAAACAAGCACAACACCTCAATACATTTTAAAATATAAACAAATGGTCAAAACTCTTTTCGAAAACCTCAACAAATAAAATTAGCATGTCAAAACCTGCTGTGAGCTATGCGAAATCCAGTGTTTTCGAACAATTGGAAAAATCGTCAAACTATCTAAAAAAAATACGAATTATCAACTGCAAAAGGTTAAACAGGAAAATTCAAAACTTGCACGAATTTTAAGCCGATGAATAGAATTTAGTTAAAATTGTTACTGCTTTTAAGTGCAAAATATATGATAACTATATTAATTTTTATTATATACTTACATACATATGTACGTATGTATATAATTAAATGTACACACTTATAGCGGGATTACGTAACCAGTCTCTAGTCTCTATTTGAGACTAAAACCTCAATTTGTGACTAGTTACTATTCACTAAAAATAAATAATCGTTCAATGGCACATAACAGTTTAACAGCACATCTCCATCTCTGTTCGTTCGTTATAGAAGCTTGTGAGTAGTTAGTTCTAGCGTTTTATATCTAACATTGCTCTCCGTGGCTCAACATTGAGATACACAATTACAATTATAAGAAGTATTTCGTACATTGAACCCACCTTAACGAGTCGATTTCAGTTAGTATCAATTCATATGCTTTTAATGCAATTTTTCTTTTGCAAAATTTCTTTTTGCCAATAAATCTATATATACATATACATAGTATGTTTGTAAATTATAAGTAAAGATCTAATGTGATTCAAACTGGGTCGTAAATATGAGCTGAATATAGCAAAGGAACAAACTCAGCAGGTCACTGAAACCCCAATACAAATTCGAATTATCGCGGAAACTAACTCATATACACCAACAACTAATAATGCCTTTGCGTAAAAAAGATATGTACGAGATATGTTAGTGTCTGGTAGCGCTCTTGGGTAATTAACTGGTAATTTAATCAATAAATATCTGGTAGGGATATCCAAGCCTAATCTCTTTATCCTTATCCTATAAAGACCTACATACATATATATATATCTGAAAAGAAGTATGGAAACGTATATATTTGCATATAGTGTTCTGTGACGGTAAGATTCATTTCCTGATCGTAAAAAAATTAAAGATAGAATACTAGACATAACAATTCTACAAGTCTCTGTGATGTTCAACTATTGCGAATAACTACTGATCTTCTCATATTTTGGTATTAATATATATACCTATTAACTGAACTACATCTAGTATTGCAACGGACCGAAACTGGTTTATGCGTGGCTCATTGGCCTACCAGAATATCCTAACCTAATGGAATCTATGTTAAATTTTTTGAAACATCTTAAATATTGCTATAGGATGGATTCTGTTTGCCGGTCAGATCCAAGCAAAATGTGAGTTCACTTGAACTAATAAATGGGAGAAAATGTCATCTAAGAGTGACTGAATAACGCTTCCATTGATTCACCGCGACCCAGATGCCACCAGCGCAAGACAATTTGTTTGCTGTGTTCATTTTACGTATTGTTCTTAAAAAACTGTGTCAAAAGATTAAAAAAAAATTTATAAGAATTAAAATATAACGGGAATTAATAATTTTACAAAATTTTATTAAATCTTGTCCGTTTAGCAGAGATAATTTCAACGAAATACCAAAATAGTGTCCGTTTTCTGTCAATGGAACGTACTCAAATCCGATTATAGGAATTGCTTTTGTATGAAAATAATATTGAAAACGTCGCGTTCATGAAATTTGTCCATTTCGGAACTGTCCGTCTATGAGGACTACCCGTAAAGGGAAATTTCACTTTATTTGGTTTATTGAACTCATAAGAGCATTGTTCATTCAGTAGACTGGTTTGTGCTCTTGTGTCGTGCTCGACTATTATATTATACACCACTGTACAATGTGTGCTCTCAAATGGCAGACGCTCCGTCATACTACATGTACATACGTACATATACTCGCACATATATCTATGCATACATTTCTTATATGCATACTGTAAGCTACGACTGGCGCGCACGCTTTGGCGACACTACTTGTTCGCTACGCGCACGACACGCAATACACTTGTTCGTGACCATATACAATTGAAACTAAATCAATGTAGCGTTTACATTGTATGAACGAAGCAATGGTGTAGCATGCAATGATGTCGGCTAACTTTGCTGTTGTGTGGTGAACGCTCTTGCTTGTTTATCAGCAGCTGTGTTTCGTTATTATTTATTTTTCGCCTTTCTGCTGAAATGAAGCGTATGTAAGAGATACTTCGTGTATTCGATTTTCTTCCGTATACTGTGGTGCCATCACAATTCTCGTCTGAGCTGTTTTATTTCCTTTGCGTTGTTGTATGTATTCTGGCTGTATAATATGGCGAGCCCCAGTGGCCCAATGGATAAGGCACCGGCCTCCTAAGCCGGGGATTGTGGGTTCGAGTCCCATCTGGGGTACAAATTCAGTATTGTTTGTTTTTTTAATTAATTAAAATAAATGTGATATACATTTTTTTCATTTATTCGGCGTATATTTATACATATGTATTTGTATTCAATGCATATTTTGAACCAATGCGTGTATTACGCCTATGCACATACATACATACATTTCATTTTCATTTGCACCGATGAATAATTTTAATTGTAATTTTTACTTACCTGGATTGGCTTGTTGGACGATATATCCACCAGTTGGTCTTCGACTCGTATGTAGCCAGCGCTGATCAAACCTGTTCCAATGGAGAAAAATAGTAAAAGTAATTTATTAATACTTTGAAAAGAATTATTCATACTTCTCGTAAATATGTTCCCAAGGAATATCTATTTATATATACCATATACTGATAAGTCATCTATTTGGAAGAAATACATAACTTTAGCCAATATATTCGCTTAGATATTGGCAATATTTTTTTCAACAAGAAATGAAATATTGTATTAGAATTTTTATTGTTACAAAAATACACTATTAACAAAGAAGTTCTGAAATTTTTGGGAAGAAATATTTTAAACTCCTTACAGAATTATCTAAAAATACGTGTTTTAGTTAATACCTTAACTTAAAACTTGGGCGAAGAAAAAAGAACCTTTTACAAAAAAATTAAAAATTGTTAATTTGTTACAAAAATGTTAAAAAATTTTAATTTTTTTCAAATAGTTGTAATTGAAAAAATTCTTCATCTAAGTCTTGAAGAATTGTACCTCAAAGACCTATGTAAAATTTCATGAAGATCGGTTGAGTAGTTCTCGAGAAATCTTGCCAGTCGATTTCAAAAACAAAGTTTCGAAAAAAAGCGTTAAAAGATGGCGCACTTAGCCTACCTAGTCTGGAGTACATAAATTCTCAAGGCTGTGTCTCCGAAACTACTACTCGGATCTGCTTGATAATTGAAGACAATATTCTAGATGTTGTCAAATTTAATAAAACAGTAAAAAAATCGAGTTTTTGAAATCCGTATACTCATGTAACCCCTTAGGATAACATGAAAACATAGTACTTATTAAGGGGTATATTAGGCATAGAAAAGACAGGAGTGGAAAAATTTTAAAATTGTGTATATGATCTGGACTGATTTTGTTTTCATTTTATGCTAATGTGTACTCGGTAAATTGAACCCAAGTCAGAAATAAATTTAGGAAATATTTACATTCGTCATTACCCGCTTTAAACATGAATAACGAAAATCAATAGAGAGTGTGGTTACTCGTACTTTGTCCACTAGTTTTAACCATTTTTGGCATAATTTTTCAGTCGATGTGTGGTAGCTAGCATTGTCGTGGTGAAGTGTAAACGCTCTTCGGTGGTTGGTTTTCCCGATTTTCTCAAAGACAACTGGCAAACAAATGGATATGGACCACTTCAAATAGATTGTTCTGCGTTGTTCTAGTGTTATGGTTGCGATATATCCAGTTGTTTCCAAAAAAAAAAAAACCCTAAACATTTGCTTGAAAATGCATCGCTGTCGAACAATTTTTGTTGGATTCGGCCTTTCTTCAAACACCGTCGACGGCTGTTTACTCATTCGTGTAAATCCATGATTCACCATCTGTCACGTTGTCTTAGACATGTTTGAAAGCATCGCTATCGTATTTTTTTACATTTATCTCGACCTATCGACACGAGCCATTTTTGAGCGATGAAAAAAGTTTTTTCTTCAATAAAATTTTCATGCAATATTGAATGTATGCTAGTCTTACTAATGTCTACAGTTATCTCTATCCCGCAATAGGTCACATGACCAATATGAGTTTGCGCACAGCGTCAATAGGTTCCGAAACAAGAACTGATTTTCATCAAGATATGTATATCTTACTTATTTATTTTAAATAGATAATCTCTTTAAATTTTAGGAGTTACCAACAACTATTAGGTTATGATTTTATAATTGCCAATTTCTGAATTAAGCACTGAAACTACCTGCGTTTCCAAGATAACACCAGTTTGAATGTCATCCGATTATTTGCATAGAGATCTCCGTACTTTCGGCTTTACTTAAGCAGTAGGTGATCTATCAAACTGTAGGGGGGGGACTGCAAAAATTAAACCTTCATTTGACTTTGTCTCTAATAGTTTCACCAAAAGGGGCTAGTAAGCGCATATTTTTGGTAAATAATTTTTTTAACAAACCCTTAAATCAGTGTATTAGAACTCGGACATCTACTTAGTTATCGCTAACTGTGATGGTTACAGAGATATACTACTAGTTACTATCTCTATTTGGTAGTTATTTAACTTAATGCTCTCTAGTGATAATATTTGAAGTGTCTGCAATCTTATTTTAACTTGGAGTGAAACTCACTTGGAGTATATTCAAAAGTAGCATTTCACTGGCTTGCGTGCTTTCATGCACAATACCCAACCACACTCCTGTATAAGTGGATAGTTTTTTGTGCAAACTTTAAAGCCATCAAGTTAGAATGAGTCCACATCAACAATTTGTTCGTGCTTGCGTGCTTTTAATGTTTATATAATATATATGTACATACCATACATGCAAACATTTCAAGTATTTTTCAAGTATTATGTTATTCATTACTTTTTATTCGCTAAAAGTTTAAACGAGAAAGTTGAATTTGATCTATGTTGTTAGAAAATATATATCGGCATCTGAAATGTTGGCTTTTCCACAATGATAACGCCCCGGCTCCCACATCGTTGCATATTAATTGTGCCGCATAATTTGTTGACCAATACAGACATATAAAATTGAATGCGTTTAAATACAAAGTGTGACAAAAAACTAACACACTAACTGTAAACCGTAAAGAGACGGTGCTACGATTAGAAGGATGTATGTAATATAATGGAGTGGTTCAGACGCGATTGTTGAAGATAGGAATGATAAAACAGTTGGTCAAATCATTAGGCTAGAAAGTTCAGTTGTTTTAATTAATTTTTTAGAAAATTTCGGAAGTTTAGTATGAAAAAGTTAAAACTTGGAACAGCTGATACAACAATAATGAAAAATACAGAGTTTTTCAAATTTATTACTGTTCTGGAAAGCCATTCGTGGAAAAGTTTTATGTTGGTAGTCGAAAAGGTAACTATAAAGTATCAAATTATGTAGGAGTTGTACAAAATATGCTAACAAATTTTCAGTATTGAGTATTAAGTTAGACTATCTCCGCAACAATCTGAATCTAAAAGCAATGGAAGATACCTCTTCATCACATGAGAACAGATTGCTGCTGGTCCTTAAAAAAAATTGTCAACTGGAAAATTATAAAGGAAAAGCTCATAAATGGCGTTTTATTGAGATATACTTGTAACATATGTCTTCGACGTTTGTCTTTGTGTTGATGTATCTTGATACAAAAATAAATATATTTCTTATTAATGTGTTCTGATTTTTGTTATGCAAAATGAAAATAACGATTCAAAACTAAACGCGAGCAAAACTTATAAAATAATTGATAGTTTTTTTTATGTCTAAGACCATAAAACCACTGTACCAGTGGGATCCTTTCATGATAATAATTTTCGTCACAGAACTACTCGAACCTTAATGACAATATATTTGACAGATCGTTTTGGTAATTGCCTGTGCAGATGCGGCGTTAATGTTCTTTGACGCATGCGGAATTCTGTTGAGTTTAATACTTTGAGGAAATTCTTTTCTCTGTGACATTTTAATGACCCTTCAGTTTCACTCAGCGCATATGCCTTATATGTTTTATACAAATATATTCTTTTTTCTAGTCATGGGGTTTTCAAATAAAAAATATATGTTTGGCTTTAAGTTTTTGACAGTAATTTGTCATTTCAGCCATTCATAATAGTAAAACTCTTTTAAAATCTGTGAACCAAAACTTGGTAGCATGAAATATGCGATGGTACTACTTTAATGATGTATTCGCATACTCCTTTGTACCGTTACTTTGTTGTTACAGTCTTTACCAAGAGAGCGGAAGATGACGAGCAAAGGAATAGCGAATCGAGATTTGGGACAAATTAAATTTGTTTTAACAAGGATATTCTTAAAGAGAAAGAGAGAAGTGCAAACGGCAGTGTTTGCCTTTATAATTAATTATTCTGTGCGTGTACCACCAAGCCAATTTGTTCCAAGGTCGCCAACCCTTGCGGAGCAAATCGAAATATGACCATAATAAATATGTTTACTTCGCGAGTCTTTCGTTTTAAATTATTCAACAACCGCTTTGACCGAATAAACGCTCCCCGCTGCATTTGCAATGAAGTTTCATGATTATCAGTGGTATTACAATCATAATCATCATCCTCGTCATTAATCATTATGTATTAATCGTTTGCAGGCTCGACCTGCTCGCCCACTCGGAGCCGGTTGCTCCGCTTAGCACTGTGCTCTTGACCTACATACATATGTATGCACGTTGTTGCAGTTACTACATGAACGACGTGTAAGTGTGCGTGACAAGAACGTACTCAAATTTGTTGCCGCAATGGCAAATAAATGCGCTCAAACGCAGAGCAAAGGTATTTTTAAACATCAAAACAAGAACAACAAGTCATTTGCAGTAATAACCAACAACAAAATCAGCAGTTGTTGTTGCATATCTTGCTGTGGCTGTTGGTGTTGCTTTTGCTGTTGCACTTGCATTGACCTTGTCACTAACTGCTGGTAGCCTTAGTTCCAGTACATGGCCCGCATCAAGGCCCTGAGTGGCGCTGCTTGCGTTTGTCTGCGTGTATGCAGGTGCTATATATTCGTCTGTTATGTAAATATGTTTACAAGTGTAGTGTAATTTGCGTAGCCTAATTAGAAGGTGTTATTTTACAGCTTTACACCCCTTTGAATATATCAAAATTGCACCTTTGCATCAAGCATATAAATATAAAATTATTTAAAACGAAATATGCAAGCCAAAAAATAATTTCTGTTGGAAAAAATTCAATGTTATACTTCAGCATAAAGCTCTACCTTTCTACTTCCCAGAATGCATGCAATTCCAAATTATAAATTTGATTGGTTTTGGGGATAATGAAAATAATAATAATGATAATGTTCTTCTTCTGAAAACCAGGTTTCAGGAAGAAATGTTCAAGTTGTATCAAAGTTTACCCTGAACTCCCAACGATCCAATGATGTCAATTTATATTATTTAATGACGGTAACTCAGTATAAGCCAAAGATGATTCAAACATTTTTAAACTAAGAACTCAGCCGTCTCCACCCGGACATGTTGCCAACTTTGGGTAATCACGAATCTGCTATTTTGCAGGAAAAAATCTGGCTGAGTTAATTTAGATACAATATCTCATACATTGACTAAAAATTTTGACCAACGGTTATCAGATTACGAAAATCATACTTGGAGTATATAGGGAGAGATCTAGATCCTTATGGGAGAGATAATCCTTCGCCGAGCCTTGGAATTTACCCAGGTGGATGAACCTTTAGCCACAATCCGATTAAAGTCCTTCAACATATCGCTGATTTGCGCCCACTCCCCGATGAAATAGAAGGACGATGGGACCAAAGGCGTCTTCTATGAGATCTGCCGTCATCATGATGCCAAAATCGTGTTTGGTGACTTTAACGCCAGGGTGGGCAAAGAAGGTATCTTTGAAGCAACGGTCGTTAAATACAGCCTTCATGATTTAAACACTCCCAAATGGGTTGAGGATGATCGATTTCGCAGGGGCTCGAAATATGGTTATCTGCAGTACTAGATTCTAGCATAGAGAAATGCATAAAGCTAGCTCGACTCGGATCGAGAAGCCACTAACCAGATGTATCATGTTGTGATATAAGGAAGACACGTCCGCACTTTAATTGACTCGGAATACTATCTTGTTGCAGCCAAGATACGCGCTTGCCTCTGTGTAGCAAAGCTGGCCCGTCAACAAACACAAGGAAGGTTCGACGTCGAGAAGCTACAATCACGACAGACATTCCAACGACTTTCTGCTTAGCTTAACACCAGGTGGGAGTGAACCCGTTTCCCCATTCGATGACGTTGGAGCGGACGTTTAGTTGCCCCCCAATGAAGAAGTTCGAATAGCGAGCAATAAAGCGGTGGAGGCCGTTGGATTGCCGGCAAAGCTATTCAAACACGGGCGCGAAGAACTAATAAGGAGCAAAAAGGGAGACGCACAATTTGCGCCAACTACCGTGGGATAAGTCTCTTAAGGTCTTTTTGTTTTTATTTGCATATTGAAAATCTAAAAAATAATTATTTAAAACAAGAAAAAACGTGGTAAAAAATAATCTATACCAAATTCGTGAATATATCTTGTCAAATGTGATAGTTTTCCATACAAGAACTTGATTCCGATCGATCAGTTTGTATGGCAGCTATATGCTATTGTTAACCGATCTAAACAATTTCTTCGGACATTACATTGTTGGCTCAGAAAATAAGCTATATGAAAATTTCGTGAATATATCTTGTCAAATGTGCAAGTTTTCCATACAAGAACTTGATTCCGATCGTTCAGTTTGTATTGCAGCTATATGTTATAGTGGTCCGATATCGGCAGTTCCGAAAAATGAGCGGCTTCTTGCAGAGAAAATGACGTTTGCAAAATTTCAAAAGGATATCTTAAAAACTGAGGGACTAGTTCGTATATATACAGACAGACAGATAGATAGACAGACGGACATGGCTAAATCACCTCAGCTCGAAATACGGATCATTTATATATATACATTATAGAGTCTCCGACCCTTCCTTCTGGGTGTGACAAACTTAATATACCCTGTTCAGGTTATAAAAATTTAATACTTTATTTACTATTATTATTGTCACTCGAAGTTGGAACCTCAAAAAAAAAAAAATGTACGTGGGTGGCCCAGGTGATTTTGGCTCTTTATATTATCTGAAATCAAATATTCTTGATTATTCTTAATCTATAGACATATCATTCTTTTTGGAACTACTGAAGTTAAATTTTAAGTTTTAAGTTGTAAAATAAAAAGTTAAGGGTCAAAAAAATTCTCGTTAATACCGACGAGAACTATAAGTGTGGAGAACAGCGTGTTAAAATTTTAAAATCGGTTCAGTACAAAAAAAGTTAGGACGCGGGCCGACCAGAAAAACAATGTTTTGAAAAAAAAACGCGTTTAAAGTTTAACAACTCAGAGAAGAGAGGATCCCGAGGCGCTCTAGGAAACTAATTATAACTTCCGAAATATTTCGAATTTTTGTCTGAAATGTTCACAGTATTTTCTCAAGACATTGCACTTTCAAATTAAGCAAAAAAATTTTTTCCGATTTTTTGAACCCAAGTTACCATACCTTAAGCATCGCATATAAGGTTCTAACGAGAGTATTGTGTGAAAGACTGAAGCCCACTATCAACAAACTTTTTGGATCTTATGTCTGAACTTGGTATCACCAAAAGGTCCTGAGAATCGCGAAGGCCCTCCTCGAGGCGTTCGATACCAAACGAGGTTTCAAACAATGAGACCGCAGTCGATGAAACAATGAGCTATATGAGATATGTATATGACGACATTGACATAGCATAGTTCAGCGAATTAAGCGACAGGGTCAACGCTGGCTGGGTAATGTCGTCAGAATGGATAAAAAGCTCCAGCGCTGAAAGCAGAGGAAGCGGAAGCGTTGGAGAGATCAGGTGGAGAAGGACCTGACTATACTTGGAATCTCTAATTGGCGCTAACGGCTATAACCGCGGATGTGGTGTCTACACCAATAAAAAAGAAGAAGATCATTTATATATACAATTGTATACAATCCTATATCTATCTCGTTTAGATTTTGAGGGATACAGAAAATCCTTTGGTGAACAAAATTATTATATTCAGTATCAACATGTTGCAAAAGTATAAAGAAAAGTTTCCATCATCTTCAGATTCAAACTCGACAAGTGTTTCAATCGTTCTGTGAATAAATAATTTTATCACAAAAAAATATGGATTCGTATGCCCTCTATAATGGCTCTTAAGGGGGTATACCAGTTTGACGCATGAAAAATTAGGGGATTTTCGTTAATTTTTTTAAGAGAAAATACGCTAGTACAAACGTACATTTTCAGCTATATTAAATTTTTTTTTTTACAAAAGTGTTGAAAAATAACGGAGTTATGTGCTGCCTTCGGGGGTGCCAAAGAAAAAGTGCCCCAACTGCTGGCATGATTGCTTAAAGATATTTGCTATACAATGACCTACAATCTTTCAAAAATATCAAAAATTAACAAAAGGGCGTAATTTACAAAAAAAAAATGGTTTTTTTAGGTAAAAATTGTCGCGTTTTTTAATGCCAAATTGACAATTTTCAACCAATCAGACGGATCATAGGTAATTGTATAGAAAATATATTCAACAATACTCAGTTTTAATCTGTTCATTTCTCGTTGAGTTATGATGCCAGCAATTTTGAAAAATCTCGTTCGGAGAAAAACGCGTTTAAAGTTTCACTCATATATTTTTGCACCTCCGAGAGGTCGCTCTTTAGAACGCTGCCATTCAAAAACTATTCAAGATACGACCTTCCCGATTTCACAGGATATTTATGGAAATATAAGCTATCGAAA